AGGGGTAGACTGTTCTAGTTCCACGTGCCATGTCTAATGGATGTCAGTTATCAGTTATCTCCTGTTAATTCCCCTCTCCAAGTTCTCCACTGCCTTAACTGGGTATCCTCAAGGGCACATGGCACAGTGGATAAAGGCATTGGTTAGATCCAGTGACAGGACCCAAAGAGTTCAATACTTGGTTAGTTGGATTCATTATATTCACTTATGTGCAAATACTTTTGGGAAAGGGATGAATTCACCTCTTCTGCTCCCCAGCTATGGGTTAATTAGTAAGACTTGTATCACTAAACCATTCTTATCTCAAAAAAAAAAAAAAATCTTACAATCTAAAAATATTTTCTGGCTTTAAATAGCCTGCAAAGGGTTGATAAGCTGTTGAAAATGAATGAATCAGTCAATCACTCATTTGACATGCAATACTAGCACCAAAAAAACCCAGTCAAAGTTTGACTATACATGATGGGGGCGTTAGGATTGTGTTTTGGTACACAAGGAGGCAGAAACTCCCCAAAATTTGGGTAAAACTGTCTTAAAGCTATACATTAGATAAGTTTGCCTATTGTCCAGTTCACACTCCTCCATCTTCTGAACAGGAGCAGAAGTTTATCCTTTCTTTCTTGTTTAGGATTGGGTTTCCAATTCCTTTTTCTAAAGTCTTCTCATTCTTTTTCACCCCCAGTAACCCTGTTGGCTTTAATGGCATTATTATCTTGATTACAGCAAAAAGATTAAAAAGAAAGTATTTCTATCCATTTTAAACAGACTCATATATTGGACTTAATTTCTGCTGAACTGACATTAACTGCTAAAGAAAATATGTTTACCAATTCTCTTTTCTCTTTCTCTTTATATAAAGGTATTATATATATATATATATATATATATATATATATATATATTTAGACACCAAAAGTGAGACTTGAAGACCACTGAGATGAAAGGAAACAATTTTAGCCAACTTCAAACGACAGGCAATGCTGTCTACAAGTGAAACAGAATAGACATATGAATGCCTCGTCAAGCAGATGTTGGAAGAAGAGATATGATCATCTTTAGATAAGTATTTCTATCCATTTCAAACAGATTTATGTATGGGACATTGTCCCCGATGAACTGACATTAACTCCTAAGGAAAATATGTTTACCAATTCTCTTTTATATAAAAGTGTTTCTTTAAATTTTTCATTTGCCTTGTTCTTTGTTCCTTTGTTTATGACTCATGTGGGGTGCTGCTAATTTTCCCCCATACTCTACCTCAGGTCATCATCTAATGAAAACTCTTCTGGAAGCTCTAGTATTGTTTTTTATCAGAGTAGGTCTATACATTGATAACTTTTCATGAAAGAAAAAAACAAAAGATGCCTGAAGAAAAACAAGGTAGAGATGATAAAATAAATGCTAAGAAATTGGTCCAAATGAATCAGGAAATGGTAATAGAAAAAATGGCGTCTTAGAAATCAAGACAAAGACAGAACAAACGAAATCAGAGTTGCCTCCCTTGCATCAACAATGTTGAAAAATGCTTTAGAGCAGTGGTTAGCAAACCCCAGCCCCGGGACCAGATTCAGTCGGCAAAACATTTTTGTCTGGTCCACTAACTTAACGCCTGGACAGTAATTATCAAATTAATTTGTGGAGCAAGTGCCAGTAAAAATACTAGGTGGTGTTAATTGACTTACAATGTGACAAATTTTTTTAAAATCAAGATTTAATACCAAATCTACTGCTGACTTTTACAAGAAATATGTTTTTTACTTTGCCTATCGAAAAGCGTAAAAGCAAAAAGCCTCTTGAATAATGTGAAAATGATGGTATCATTATTTGGAAGTACATATGATTGTGAACAATATTTTTCAAAAATGAATTACACCAAGAGTCATTTAAGGACAAGGTTGGGTGATAACCACCTGGACGATGTTTTGCTCCTGTTGCTGACAAATATTTCACCTGATGTGAAGAAGTTATCAAACAATAAACAGAAACAAGTGTCTGATTTAATAATTTGCCATTTTTAACTGTTTTTCATTTGTTGTAAGGAATTTGCATTTTTTCTTGATTGTCTTAGTTGTTATCCTGTTATTCCTGCAGCAAAATAAGGAAACTTGTTTAAATAATATAACATTAACTTCGTTGTTTTTTCTTTAAACCTCCAGACCAAGGCAGGAGTGGTCTGAGGTCGAAACAATTTATTATAGTACATTTGATATCATGGCCCTCCTCTGTGACACAACATAGATTTCTGGTCTGCTCTCTCTAAAAGGTTGCCAACCACTGATTTGGAGTTTAGTTACATTATAATTATTATTATTAGGAGTAGTAATATTAATATTATATGATGATTACTGTGATTAGATAAAGCATTGTCTTTATTGCTTTATTTCCACTAGTAGTATTAGTAGTAGTAATATTATCTGAAATTTTCATTAGATGAAACATTGTCAAGCATTATTCATTTTGGACTAGGATTTCTTTCATCTTCATTTCAATTGCTTTATTTCCACTAGTAGTATTAGTAGTAGTAATATTATCTGCAATTTTGATTGCATGAAACATTGGAAATCAGAGAACTGAGTTACAATTCCAGGCATTAATTTTTGACTTGGATCTCTTTCATCTTAATTTCATTTGCTTTATTTACAGTAGTAGTCTGTAAATTGAATATTATTACCATTGTTATTGTTGGGAAAGATAGGGGAGTGGTTTCTCCAGGGATTTTAATTTAGTTCTCCTCCTCCTAGTCTGGTTGTTCAGGCAATCATTCACAGTTTCTTTTGCTTTAATATACATGAATTGCTATGGCTTTTAAGAAAGGCAACAGAATGGCTTTTTGTTGCTTTCTCTATGGTTTTGAATTCAGAAGTGTATTTCTCTTAAACTGGCTCTCAGCCAAGTTTAGAGATGTTCGTCATCCTTACTATTTAACACATAAGTAGATTTGTTGCGGGAATGGAAAGTATTATCATTTCATGCCTTCTGGTGCATTTGTCCTGCAAACAATATTTGGCAGACTCATGTGAGTCCAGGTAAAAAAAAAAAGGTCACAAAACAAGGAATTCAAACAAACAACAATTAATAAATGACTAACCAGACATGTTACAGAAGGATAAAAGAAAGGAACAAAGTTGAAGTTATGAACAATTAAATACAATCTTCAGTCTGTGTGTCTGAAATACTTATATGCCTCATGTCTATCAGAGTGAAAGGAAACATGGCTTGCCATTCCCAAAGTCAAAGGGAAAAGAGGAAGAGCCTTTCAAATATCACACTGCCTGTGATTATCGTCACTTGGCGATAATCTAACAACACACACACACACACATATATATATATATATATTAAATGGACAGTCTGGTAAGAAATTTCTTTTTCATCATGCACATCACTGAAAAACTTTGTTCAAAATGGTATGTCTATCAGCTATATATTATAAGCAGCAACTGACTAGCAGTGATGAAATGGTGGCGGCGAACAGTCCAAAATTATCCTACGTCTGTTGCAGGAATGGAAGGTATTATAGTTTTATGCCTCCTGGCATATTTATCCCACAAACAGTAATTGGAGGACTTATGTGAGTCTAGATAAAAAAACAGCTAAAAAAAGGGCTTCAAGCAAACAACAATTAATAAAGGTATTTTAAAAAAACATGTTACAGAAGGATAAGAAAAGAAACAAAGTTGAAGTTATGAACAGTTCAATACAATCTTCAATCTGTGTCTCTGAAATACTTACATGCCTCATGTCTATCACAATGCAAGGAAACATGTCTTGCCATTCCCATAGTCAAAGGGACAAAAGGAAGAGCTTTTCAAATATCGCACTGCCTGTGATTATCGTCAGGAGGCGATAATCCAACAAGACACACTCACACACACACACACACATATACACAAATTATATTTTAAATTGATAGTCTTATAAAAAATTTTGTTTTCATCATACACATCACTGAAAAACTTTGTTCAAAATGGTAAGTCTATCGAATATATATTATAGGCAGCACCGAACTATCGGTGATGAACTGGCAGCTCGAACAGTCCTAAATCCTCTCAAGACTCATGCAGGAATGGAAGGTATTATAGTTTTATGACACCAGGTATATTTATCCTATGAATAATATTTAGCGAACTCATGTGAGTTTGGATAAAAAACACGCTCAAAACATGGAATTTAATAAAAGTATTAACCAAACATGTTACAGAAGTATAAACATAGATACAAAGTTGAAGTTATGAACAGTTCAATACAATCTTCAATCTGTGTCTCTGAAATATTTACATGCCTCACGTCTATCAGAGTGAAAGGAAACATGTCTTGCCATTCCCAAAGTCAAAGGGAAAAGAGGAAGAGGCTTTCAAATATCACACTGCCTGTGATTATTGTCTTTAATCAAACAGAGCAAAAGTGAATGTGACTGACTTGTTCAAAATCTTAGCCAATTCCATTTTTTCATGTGATATCACTTGCATATGCAGTTATAACTTTGTTTTTTTTAATCATTTAATCCCAAATCAAGGTGATAAAGCCACTAAGGTGCAGGGGAATTACAGGGAGCAAAAGAGAACGAGAAGGTTTTACTGAGGGGAAGTGAAGAAAGGAAAATAAAGGAATAAGATTTAGGAAGACAGAAGATGGCGATTGGTGTTGCATTTAAATTTTTGAAGATTGTAGGTGACAGAGAAGCAAGAAATCGGAAGAGGCAGAAGTGTAAGAAAATATTTTTAGGAGAGAAACACAGTTCAGTAGTGAGAGCTAAATGGCAATCTAGTAGCATGCACTCATGCAGTAGAGTTACTAAGGAAAAAAGCTCATCAGAACAATTACCATAGAATTATTTGTAGAAAAGATAGACAGAAGTGAAGTCATGTTGGTGAGAAAGTGACTGAAGTTGAATGCCAGGTCAGGACCGATAACATTACAGACCTGGTATGAAAACTTGTTCAGCACAAGTAATAATAATGAAATCATGTACTTAATTTTTGAAGAAACTGCATTCTTTCCTACCTGTCTGCTATACCCATCGGTGCAACACTCTCAATACAAATAGACCGTTTCCCATTCCGGACAGAATGAGCTAATCCAATTCCTAAAGAAACCCCAGGAATTTTCTCGATTTCTACAAGTAACGGACCAGTGGCATTTTGAACAGCATCTGAAATAAGAAATTTCAAAATAGATGTAAATATTTACAGCATTAAATTCTATGTAGAGCTCAACTAGTGTTGTTACTTCAGGCATATTCTGATAAATTTCTCCTCCTTTTTAAGTAAAGAATTTATGAAATAAAATGCAGGTGAGAATCTTTACCAACAATAAGTCAATTAAAAGAGAGATTTTACATAGAAAAATCCATCTATAAATGAAGTATTTTCATTTTTATTTTAAGACATTTTATGTTTATACATTCTTTTTATAGATACAAATATTTAAGTAAATGCTCTGTTTATAATTCAGGCCGGTAAATGTTGTTTAATACTGTTTATTATAAACAGAGCATTTACTTAAATATTTGTATCTATAAAAAGAATGTATAAATATAAAAATGTCTTAAAAATAATTGTCGGACTTTGTCCATTTCATAATATTTTCCCTTTTGTTTAAGCTAAGAATTTATCAAATAAAATATAGATGCAAATTCTTACAAACGATTAAAAGGAAAGATGATTTTCAAAGAAAACCTCATCTATAAATGAAGCCTTTTATTCTTTTTCTTTAAGTATGGAATTCATCAAATAACATGGTGGCTTGAATCCTTATCAATAAGAAGTAAATATAAAAGGTGGTTTTTAGAGGAAAAAACATCTATAGATGAAGTATTTTTCCTTTCTCATTAAGCTGGTAAATGATCAAACAAAATGGAGGCATCACTCCTCACCAACAGGCATACTTACCCATCACTGATACATCGTATTCAATAAGGAAGGCCGTTCGAGATTCACACTCCTGCATCATTGCCACTGTTTCTGACAGACTTAAATGTGCCACATTGAAGCAGTTAATGGCTATTATCCGGTCTCCAGTTTTTAAGTGACCGTCTCTGGATTTTGATAAATAAAAATATAAATTAGACTGTTGATTAACATAAATTAAACAATTAAGTCAACATCAAAATATTTATACATACAGGTGAATAAGAGGTCATTTCAAGGTTTGTCAGGTGTGGTTGTGTTAATGAGTTTATCTGTAGGTTAGTCACTGTGAATGAGTGAGTACCGGCAACTGTGATATAAGTTGTTAGTTATAAGAAGCTATTTTATTCAACATAGTTATTGGCTAAAAGAAGCTATTCTATAATCGATTATCTATAAGAAGCTGTACTATAAGCTATTACCTATAAGAAGGTATCCTATAAGCTATTAGCTATAAGGTATCCTATAACCTATTACCTATAAGGAGGTATCCTATAACCTATTACCTATGAGAAGCTATTATCTATAAGAAGCTATTACCTATAAGAAGGTATCCTATAACCTATTACCTATAAGGAGGTATCCTATAACCTATTACCTATAAGAAGCTATTCTATAAGCTATAATTTTTATTCTATAAACTATTAGCTATATGACACTTTCCAATTTGTCTTTTACAACTTTTTGTAAAGTACTAAAGGTTCTAATCAACTCTGAATTGATTAAGCATTTCACTTTACATGGCCTTCTTTCAGATAAATAATATGACTTTCACTTTTCTAGGTTAACTGCTGCTGCGTTAATGGTTATTATTGAATTTGTCTATCAGCAAAGCTAAGGCTGTGAGTTAAGATATTTCTAAAGCATGTGACTGTTTTTTTTGTTTTTTTTTACAGTAAACTTTACTCTGTACAAGGCCTGAGGGTTACTCAAGGTAGAGGGTTACATTAAGGGGTAGACTTGAACTGGTTAAGATTGTAATGATCAGGGAAACATCCTCTTGGGAGTCAGTTCCACAGAGTAGTGATTCATGGGAAGAAGCTGTTCAAGTGGAACTTACTTCTCACTGATGGAATACGGAGAGAAAGTGGATGGTTTGCAACAATGGAAGTGACCTAGCAGGTCCTAGCCATAAAGGTTAAACCTGGTGGAACCAAGGAATGTCAGCACTTTCAATGGAAGTAGCGATAGAGCAAGTGAGAGGCTCGTCACATCCCGCCTGTGAAAAAGAAGTTGGAGGGTGGAAAATAATTTGTCACCCACAAGGACTTGAAGATGCTTTTGAACTCTTTTCAAGACTGGAAAGTGAAGACTGGCAGCTCCTGCCTAAATATGGCAACAGCACTCCATTTTTGGCCTGATCTGGCTCTCATAAAGGTAGAGGATGACAGGAGGAGTCAGGTACTTACTGGAGCGGTACAGGGAACTGATCATTTTACCTGCATCTTTAACAATGGATTGTATATAAGAGTTCCACTTGAGGTTAGGTGTGAATTTGAGGCCCAATATACTCTCAAGGCACTGGGCTGTCTTGAGGAGACATCCATTCGTCATGACTGGTGGTAGTTCGGGGTCTGATTGGCAGTGACAGAATGTAACCAGTTTGGTTTTAGAGGCATTGAATGTAACTAGCCAGTTTCTGCTCCACTAGGAAGTTCGTGCTAAATTGAAAGAGAGGTCAGCTGCTAATCTTTGATCATCAATAGTCTTAGAGGTGCACCTATATATAGTCGTATCATTGGCATAGATGTTTGCAAATGATCTGAGTATATCCTTAGGCAGATCATTTATCTAAATCAGAAAGAGTGTTGGTCTGAGAAGTGACCCCTGGGAGATGCCAGGAAACTCAAAAGAATTGATGTAGCATAGGAGTTCAGCACTCTTTTCATCATTTCTAATGAAATTTTCCTGTTTCTTAATAGTTTACTTAGTTTCTGGAAGATGTCTTTCACTATTCTGATGCAACTTCAGATTTTTGTGTTACATTTAATGTCATCTTTCATTACACAACCAAGATTCTGAAATTAGATTCCTCTTTTTTTTTAATCATTTCACCCCAAGCAAAGTGATAAATCCACTAAGACGTAAAGGGTTACTGAGAGTGAAAGAGAATCTGGAGACTTTAGTGATGAGAAAGGACAATAAAAGAACAGGTTTCAGGAAGACAGAAGATGGTGATAATGCCACTAAGACATAAAGGGTTACTGATAGTGAAAGAGAATCTGGAGACTTTAGTGGGGAGAAAGGACAATAAAAGAACAGGTTTCAGGAAGGCAGAAGATGGCAATAATGCCACTAAGACGTAAAGGGTTACTGAGAATGAAAGAGAACGAGAAGACTTTAGTGAGGAGAAAGGACAATAAAAGAACTAGGAAGACAGAATATGGCAGTTGGCATTGCATTTAAATTTTTGAAGATTACAGGTGGCAGAGAAGCAAAAAACTGAAAGAGACTTCCACAGGCGAGAAGTGCAAGAAAAGAAATTATTAGAATTGAACATATTGTTGCATCAAGTTATTTCAACAGTAAAATGGTGAATCCTAGTTGCCAATCAAGAATTCATGCAGTCAAGGTACCAAAGAGGTAATTACAATTAATTACAACAATTGCCATCTACCGAGAAATGATTGAGCCTAAAATTCTTTATCTGAATTTAACTCGCTTACCTATCTGCTGGTCCACCCGGACGTATGGAAGTAACCGTCAAGGCTCGTGACTTCATCCTCTCCAAAGATAGGCCACCCCTTAATGTAAATCCGAAGCTTTTGCCTTCCTTCTCCAAAAGGATTTCATGTCGTTTACACTGGATTGAGAAGGCACTTTGAAGTGCTGAAAAATACACAAATGATTCTTACATTATATATACATATATATATTTGTATATTTAGGCAGCAATCCTTCCTTTATGCATGTTTCATTAAAAACAACAGACAAGGTACTACAGTTAATCATTTTATTTAATTTTTCTTGTGTTCGAACAAGAGCTTTCTTTTCTGGACAAAGGGTGTCTAAGAACTGTCCAAATGTTTTATATTTCTGAGAGCTTTTGGCTATACCTTTAGCCATTATCAAGGATGATTCAATTTTTCAGCTTACTTGCGTGTGTGCATTCTGTGTATGTATTAGTGTGTGGTAGGGATTTTTTTAATTTCCAAATACGGTTAGCACATTGTGGCTTTGTTCGTAGTTAATATTGTTAAGAGTTGGCTTTTTTTTTTTTTTTATTATTAAAGCTTCCATTATTTTTTAGTTTTTTTTTCAGGTGGATGCAGTTAATATATTTGTGTTTTCTACTAGTATGTTTCTAATGGAGTCTGGTAAATTTTGTGTGTGTGTTTAAATGGGTTTTAATGGAGCTGTGATCAGATAGGTGTAACGTAAGACGTCTGGATATCTATATAATGTTGTGTAACCGATCTATAAAATAAGTCCGTTTAAATATCTATATTTATTTATACAGTTCCTTAAAGGGAACAATTTATTTCTAAGAATGGTCCTATGAAATGCTGCAAATGACAAGGTTTTAAATTATTTCAGTATCAGTGATGGACTGGGTTAAAATATTGTGACAAAGAGACCAATTTATTCGTTTGTAATTTGATTTTTTATTGATGAGTTCTCTGCACTTCATCAGGTGGTTGAAATGTCAAACTGAACGTTTCGTTCACTTGGTAGACTGTTTTAGTTCCTGCCATGTTAATGGATGTCAGTGCTTCTCGGTTGGAACTACAATTTTAATTTAATTTTCATAACATTTTCGTGTTAAAATTTAATATTTGGGTAGGCTAAAAAGAGTAAATACAAATGGACAGTATCTGATATCATTTGTTAGGTATTATTTTATCTATTTGGTTATTTGGACTAAGAAATATTGATGTTGTGTTTATTTTTCAATTTGGCTGTTACTTTTTCCGGTCTTCTCAATAGGTGGTTGGAAAAATGAACCCTTTATTAAGTAATGTTAGTTTGTTTTTCTAGTTTTAGTTCGTTGAAAAATGGATGTCAATTGAAGTTAGATTAATTCCCCTCTCCGTGTTAAAAAATGCCTTACCCAGGTTTTGAACTCACACTCTTTTTTCCTGTCATGATCTAACTAATGCCTTCATCAATTTGCCATGGGCCCTTGAGGACATTATATATGAAAATTGACATCCATTAGACATAAATATGGAGGTTTAACAGTCTGCCCCATAAAAAGTTGAGTTTGACATTTCAATGCTGTTGTTGAATTTTATTTTATTTT